CCCCAGTGCAAGATCCATTAGCCAGAAAGTTTCTAACTCTGAGTGATGTTGAGCTCAAACCAAGTCTGAATAACAGCTTTAGTAAATGTTATCTTGACAAGATCCCATCTCCACCTACATGAAGGTGTCTTAATAATAAAACAATCACAAGTCATAACTAGTTTTACTGCAAAAGTACAGACTATGTTTCCCTATATATTATACATGAAAGGGATATGTATGAAGCTCTAAGTGAATCTTCATGATCAGTGAACCTGCCCACAGTGTTTCACATTGTCATCTCTCCAAGGATCAAACCTCTGGGTGTGTCTGCTTCCTGTTCTTCCTTGAGTCACTTGAGTGAAGAAGGCAGCCCCTTGGTGTGCTTCAGCAGAGGCAAACACCCACCCCTGCTACTGTCTCACCAGCTTTAGCGTGGACATTAGATTTACACATCAAGTTGCCATTAAGCCGTTCAGTCTCCCGCGGTAGCAAAGGTCTTACATGAAGGGTGACATCCATAAAGTGCACTCTACACCAAGCCAGTCCCCCAGAGTCCCAGCTCTTTATCCAAGAAAATATTGATCTTGGTTCTCCAGTTCCCTGGTATGAATCCCACCATTTCTAAAACCCACTCAAGGCCGGGGAGATAGCTCCTGCCTGGCAAGCACAAGATCTTGAGTTCGATCCCTGGTACAAACAAGCAAACAAACAAAACCCTCAAATGCAGGCAGAGCTTCATCCTTAGTGATATAGCTAAGGAAGTGGAGTTTGTTTGCGTGCGTGCGTGCGTGCGTGCGTGTGTCTGCGTCTGCATCTGCGTCTGTGTATGTGTAGAACGGAACTTATATCCAGACTCAGCGTCCGACGTGTCCCGTTTATCTCCTCCACATACGACCAAACTTCCACTAGAAATGGCATCATCACAATACGTGTTTCCTAGAGGAGTGGGTTTAGATTTTTTTCCAGAATATTCTTTGAGAATTTGAAATTTGTGTTTGCATTACTTTCAGGGAGTAGAAATTTTCATATAGAACTCTACTTTCTCCATAGATTTTATAAATCCTATTTCGTGAGGTTAAATCTGTCCAGCCATGTGTCAAGACCTTAAATATTTAAAATATGCTTTAGTATAATTCAGGTGGTGAGTAGTTTTCTGGCTTTTCTTCATTTTATCTTACATCTCTATTCTTAATTCTTAGCAAAATGATAAGACATTCAACCGTACAATGTGACATATCCTAAGAGATTGGCTTTTTACTAAGCATTTGAGTACATGACATATGTACAAGCATTTTTGCTACTAAACTAGAATCTAGACGTGAGATGTTATCAACTATCATTTCATAACTTTTGATTTGTAGTTTTAGCAGAGTCTAGCGTTCACTTGGGCAGTCTTGTAATTGGAGTACACTGCCACCAAGTGGTGAGAAATGTCATGGTCTCGTTCAAGTAATTGTTCCTGAGGTTATCAGGCTATCAGGCTATCTATGCATATGAACCTAAAATTGTCTATTTTTGAATAGCAAAACTATGAATTTTTTTTAAATAATTGAAGATTTTAGTCACTGCCAAGATAACAAGGCAATTCTGGAAGGAAAGAAATATGTGTAGAATCAACTGTCATTTAATTCTACACAATCATTGGCCACTAGTTTTAAGAAAACTTCCCAAAGACAAGTAGAACCAAAGTCCAAACTTCAGAAATTAATTAGTCATGCACAAAAATAAGCAGGGCACATCTCAAGAAGTGTTTTTAAGAACCACCATATCTCACCGTTTGCTTTGGAATATGAGAAGGACTGTAAGAAAGATACATTTAAAAAATTTTGTGAGAACACAGAAAGGTGACATTTGTCCAGGCTGTGGGATTTAGGGACGGATTCCCCTAGAAAAGCGTGTGCATGACTTTGAGAAGCTGGCAAGCTTTTGAAAAAGAAAACTTTCAAAGAAGAACAATGTAGGCAAAGGAGTAGCAGCGCAAGCACAGGGGTAGAAAGTATTTGGGGAAGTGGCGGGCCTGATTTTCCCCAGTGTAGGAGGACATGAATCTGGAAGGCTAAGCTGAAGCAGGAAGAAAAGCCGTGAATGTGCTGTTGGTAGCACACATTGCCCACCCTGTGTGGTGGGGAAGACCCTCCCCCAGAGGAAACAAGAGCTCCTGACCATGGGTCAGGAAGAATCATTAGCTGAGGGGTGGACAGATGCAAAGGAGGCGGGCAGGCTGCTCAGAGCGCAGGAGAGAGAAGCCCATTCTGATTTTATAGTAGGACAGCAAACTGCCGCTGCCTACTTTTCTTGTGCTGTGAGGGTTACTGAGAGGCCAGAAGAGAAGGATGCGCACGTGCACCACAGACAAAGGGACACAGCAGCCAGAGGGAAGCCAGAGGTCAGGAACGGTGGGGACGAAGCCTCTTGGGGCAGAGACACCAAACAGCAGTTAAAAACTAGTCTTTCCTTCACCATCTGTTGAGAAGACAGTCAAAGGATGTACTGTCTTCTTTCTTCTGCCATGGAGCAGCTCCTTTCTTGGGTAGGCAATCTGGGCAGGCTGGGTCCTAGTGGGACTCCTTGAAAATAGTTCCCAAACATTTAAAATCAGATGTTCCATCAAAAGCCAGAAAAGTCAGTATATTTTCCTGTGTCCAAAATGGGAGGGCATATTAAGGTGAGTCAGATGGCAGGAAAGTGCTGGAACCAAAGCACTCTCTTATAATCACAAGCACAATTTTATAGTGGATGTGATCTGCTGAGCCCTAACAGAACTTGCCCCGGTGGGAGCCACTACGTGCACTAAGTATCTGTCAGGCACCCTCTTCCCTCAAGATCCCACTGGAATTTTGGCTAAAGAGAGTATGTTGCTGCAAGTTTTGTGTACTTGGCCAAAGGCTCCTGGGTAGAGGAGGGGTATGAGCACTCTTTTCTCACTGTACTAGAACTGGGGAGATAGCTCAGCAGCATAAGTGCCTGCCTGGCAAGTGCAAGGTCCTGAGTTCAATCCCCAGTACCACACCAAAAAAAAAAGGTTCTTAGAAAGTGGGAACTCCAAGAGAGACACTGTCAGCAGTCAAGACACCCACACTCACTCTGCTGGAGCTATGTGAGTATGGCAAATGATCTGAGATCTCTGCACCCCAGTTTCCTCATCTGCAGAAGGAAGAGTTTGAATACAGAAAGGAAGTGAAGGGCTGGGGAGATGGCACGGTGGTCTAAGAGCCTACCTGGCAAGTGCAAGGACCTGGGTTGGATCCCTCTGGTACTGTATGCCATGCTGGCCCCACGCCCAGCTGACCACCAAAACTGGGCATAGTTGCACACGCCTGTAATTTCAGAACTGGGGAGGCCAAGATAGGAGAATCACTATGAGTCTGAGCTACACAGTGAGATCCTGTACCAAATAAATAAATAAATAAATAAATGATTATTTAAAGTTCTTTTAAGGGCCAGGGAGATAGTGCAGTAGAATTAAGTGCTTGCCTGGCAAGCACAAGGGCCTGAGTTCAATCCCCAGTTCTGCCAAATAAAAATAAAATAAAAAATAAAGTTCTTTTTAAAAAGAGATTAAACAAGAGTAGACTGTAGTCCTTGGAAATCTTTAAGAGAGAACCTATGTTCATGAGGGACTTATCTGGCCCCCAGTGACGCTACTGTAGAGATGGAACTGGTATTGGCTGGACCCACATGCACAGCATCACTGTCCTCCAGGGCATGGAATTTGAAGAAATTGTCAGGCTGAAGCTGTTACCTTTTAATACAGATAATCAACTTTTACGTGTACATATCTGCCCTTTAGTGTACATATAAGGTCAGAAGAATATGTGGCTAGCCAGAGAGATAGCTCAGTAGAATAAGTGCTTACCTGGAAAGCACAAGGTCCTGACTTCAATCCCTGGTGCTGGAAAAAAATATATATATATATGGCTAACGTAACAGTAATATTCCAGACTCTGACACCCTAATCTGCTTTTCCACATCAGTCTATGCAGGGGTGCACAGAGCTTTGTACATCCACCACCCCACCCCCTAAGTACTTACAGAAGTTTCCACAAAGTACCTTTCACATGATACAGCCACACTGAGTCAGCCAACATCTGAATCAGGCATTTCAGCCTTCTTTTTGGTGAGGGAAGGGACATACAGAGAAATGCCTCTACCAGGTGTCCCGTAACCAAGTTGCTTTGGCAGGGTCACTTACAGTGAGACACCAAGCCCTGCTGCACCTGTGGCTGCAGTTTTCCAGGGAGCTTGACTAGGGCACAGCTGCCCTGGCTTGCCCACCCATGAAAGGAGTTGCTCTGGCAGATGAAGGACTACGGTGCATCCTTTGACTGTCCTCCTAGCTGGCGGTGGATTGACTTCCTCTGTCCTTAAGTCAGGGCTGACCTGTGACTACTCTGACCAACAGATCCCACGAAAAGGACAGCATCCAATCTGCAAACAGTTTTAGATGCTTCAGGCTTGGTTTTCTGGAACCTCAACCTTCCACCTTAAAGTCTGACTTCCCCAGTGGATGCACCTCAGGAAGAGAGCCTAGAAAGCCCAGACACCCGGCTGTTTGCCAACATGTCAGGAATGCAAAGCGAGTCGTGTTGGGCCAGATAAGCATTGGCCAGATACCATCAAAGTACTCATCAGACCCTACTGGAAGCAGAAGACTCTCCCCACCAGGACCTGCCCAATTTCTTGATCAACAAAACCAAAACAGTTAATGAAATGTGCGGAGCCACTGCCTACGACACACAGGTACACAGCAGCTGAAGCAGTCACAGTCCCTGTACCCCACCATTGGAGGTTTTGCTTTCCAGGGTTTCAGTTACCCAGGGTCAATAGCAGTCTAAAAATATTAAATGTGAAATTCCAGAAATTAAACAATTCTTAAGTTTAAAAAAAAAACTATTATGCAGGATATTGCTACAATTATTTATTTTGTTATTTATTTTTAATCTCTCTCGCTGTGCTTAATTTATAAACTCAACTTTGCCACAGGTGTTCACACATAGGAAAAAATATGATATACATACATTTCAGTACTCTTCACAGATCCAGGCATCTTTTGGAATTTATAGGAACATAAGCTCCTGTAAGCATGTGAAGATAGTGCTAACGAAAACAACCTCTCTTCCTGCTCCACTGTTCCGCTGTTTCTATCAGCCCCGAAGCGATGTCAGTTTATATCCTGACTTCTTTAAGATGTAGGGGGTGACAGATTTATCTTACATCTACAACACAAGTTAGAAATCCACCCAACCATGGGAGATTTGCCTATGAAATAAGAACAAATAAAAATACTCTGTCCTCAGAATAACCCCATCCCTTCGATAACTAAAAGTCTATTAAAGGCAAGGAAGACTGTGCCAGGCCCTTGTACATGCAGAATCCATTTTCTCACTGGGGGAGCCTAAGACTCCCAAGCAAAGCCTCCTGCCACAAAAGCTTGCCCCTGCAGGGGACGTAGATCCAGGTTATGCTTTTGCGTGCATAACCTTCAATGTCGTAACAAAGGAAGGCATCCCTGACTATGCTTAAGACTTGGTCAGGATCCTCTTCCCATCTCATTTGTAAGAGAGATGAAACATCTAGGCCTCTTTCCTCCCAGGATGTGCCTGTGTTTCAAGAACTCTGAAAGGTGTCCCTAGCATAATCCAGGCCCAGGGCTTTCAATAGGTTTTGGCACATCAGCTAAACACATTGGAATACTGTCAACACAGATTCTGGAGCCACTCAGGGCTCTGACAGAGCAGCAATGGGTCAGATAAGATCTGTTTGGCATTTTCCATGCTGAGAACCATGAAATCCTCTTGATTCAAAGAGTGTTTCTAAATAAATAAAGGATCTAGGTAAATTAAGGGTCTGAACCATAAGTGAAAGTCATGTAGATAGTGACTGCTAGAAGTCAAATTCCATCCAGGCTTAAAATTCACCTAAATCACCAGTAAACCAGAATGTACTGGCATTTCCAAAGTTTTTATACTTAAGTATCAAGTCATTACACATGTTCACAGGGAGGCTATCAACACACAGTGAAAAAACATACACCATCTACAAGATAATGGAGACTCAGAATGAATTATATCATTTGTGCTAATACTTATGTGAGTTTAATCTCTGGTACTATAAAAAGAATGTAATAATACTATAGGAATCATACAGTCATTTATCATTTTACAGCATTTTTGTTATTGTACTATTCGTGCAGTGAGGTGGGTATTATTTCCCTCTAATGTACAGGTGAGATGAGAAAGATTCACAGGAAACATGATCAAAATAGTATCAGAGACAGAGTTCAAGTAGCTTTCTTGAACCAAGGCCTGTGCTCTTTCCACTACCTCTGTCTCCCTGTCACTTCCTGCCCACCCACAATTCATGTCCGCTTCGTTTGATACCTGCTTTTGTCTAAGACCAAGGCCTCTGTTGATAATGAGGTCGACAAGAATGCCAGGCAAAGGTCCCCCTCCTTATCTCTGGCCAGGGATTCCCCTCCATGCACTCTGACCTCTGGGTGTAGAAAATGTTGGGGCAGATCGATGCCAGTGGCAGCAATCTGCTCTTTCAAACGCTTCACTGTCACTTTTCCCTCTCTATGACTAATTCTATATCCACTCAACAGATTCTATTTTTCTTTAAATCGCCAATCAAGTTGTGTTTCTCACAACTAAAGAAATCTGTAAACTGAGTTCCTAGCGCAAGTGCAATCCACTTTAGTACGTATTACTTTAATTTCTAACACAGAGGTTAATGTGCCACGTAATATGATTTTTAATCATCACTATGTAGCAAGATACTGGGTGGTACACTTATGATTTCAAAGTTGATAGCCAGAACCCAAAGTGGGAGACCAAGATTGAGGAAGTATCATAACCTTTTTGAAGAATCAATAATAACCAGAAACCTCCCTCAGAGTTCACTATAAAATAATCACATTGGCTTTATTAACCCTGTTTGTATTCTCTGTATGTGGTTGCTTTGATGTTTTAGACCTTCTCTAACCCTGGAAAGACTACCCTAGTGGGGTTAGCTCTTTCATGGCTAGGGCAAATATCTTACCTTGATGACCTCTTCCATGTGCAATCCAAGGGCCAAGGATATAGCTCAGCAGCATAAGCACCTGCCTGGCAAGCACAAGGTCCCGAGCTCAATCCCTGGTACTGGGAGAAAAAAAATACAAGAAGTACTATATGCAATCCAAGCCAGAGCGCACACCCCAGATACCTTCTGTATTTGGCTTTCACACTCCTGGCCACTGTCCCCACTCCCCCATCATCCCAGAGCCCAGGTACCCACAGCTGGAGATAGTCCCTGCCCCATGGAGCCTGGCAAAACTTGATGCTTCTCTGTGTGGCCCCAAAGTATGGTTTGGATCCGAAATGTTCCCCAAAGCCCACATGCAGTCTTGGTCCTCATGTGTGGTGCTGCAGGAGGTGATGAAAGGCTGGGCAGGTGACACAAAGAAGTTAAGGTCTTGACGCTGCACCCTCATTCTCTCTGCTCCCAGCCACCATGAGCCAAGCAGCTTGGCACCAAAGCCTGATTCCCACCGTGATGGTCAGCCTCTGCACAGACCCTATGTAGTGGGGCCAGGTGACCACAGCCTGAAACCCCTGATGCAGTGAGCCAAGATAAACCTTTCCTCTTTCAAGTTTATCTCTCTCAGATATTTTGTCACAACCATGAAAATCTAAATACCTGCGTGGTGTGCCGTGTCCCCTGATTCTAGATACAGTAGACTTCTTTCCTGACGGGCATACCTGTGTCTGCGTGTCTTACCAGATCTGAGGAAGATAAATGCCAGATACATTTAAGGCACTGTCCCTGCTCCCCTGAACTCTGTAAAAGAGGAGAGGGAGAAAGGATCATGGTGGCATTGCCACTAGCAGCAACCTCAAGGTAGCTAGTGGTTTCTTTTCTCCTCTCCTCTCAGAGCAGGAGGTGAGGTAAAGGCTCCAGGGTCATCTTTCCTAGTAACAACGGGGACAACCACTACAGTCCCCAGCTGAAGATTTCTGTCCTTATAGACTTGCAAATAGGACAGGAGAGAACGGAAAGGAAACGGACCCTGCAGAGGGGGCCGGCCTCCAGTCCACTGTTAGGCATGGCTAGGATATGTCCATTTCCCATGGGTAGAGCAGACACTGTGGAATTCAGCTGGGCTGGAGCCATCTTTCCAGTACCCCACCAAGATGGCCGCCTGCCAGGCGAGCCGATTTTCATAATGGAGCTAACAGAATGGACTATCCTCCATCGAGAGCCAGGGAATTGGCCAGTGGGGAGACCCCCCAGGGTCTTCCAAAGAATTCAAGCAGCATCCCCAAGACAATCAGCATTTGGACACCTGCCACAAGACATAGCACTAATAACTGGTAAGGCAGGGTCAGCCAGAGAAACAGCAGCCGCTACATGAGGGCTGAAAGTGTGCTCCGCTGCGATAAGCTTTGGTAAAGCTGGTGTTGGTGCTGGTGCTGGTGCTGGTGGTGCTGCTGGTGCTGCTGGTAGTTGTGGTGCTAGTGCTGGTGCTATTGTTGGTGGTGGTGATGGTGACGATGGTGGTGGCACTAGTGGTAGTGCTGGTACTGGTGGTGTTGGTGGTGGTGGTGGTGCTGGTGCTGGTGATGCTGCTGGTGGTAGTGGTGCTGGTGGTGGTTTGCGGTTTATGGTGGCTGGGGGTGTTAACAACTGAGAAAGACACATATGAAGCTTTGGATTTTGTTCATGTACCTATCTGATTTATAGAAATATGTTAGGGAAAACCCTATGTACATATTTCTGTATTTGAGTTGTACTCCAGCTAAAATTCTGGAAGGATTTTTGGAGAAAGAGAACATATGAAATATCTGCTCCACCAAAACACCAGAACCCTCTACAGCCCAGTTCCTCACCTGTGTCCTGCTGACTTTTTGAGTCTCTCGGCTTTTTGCATTTCCTCTTGTACTTCTCTCTTCTCCTTCTTTTTCTGTACCAAGGATAAAACCCAGGGATATTTTACCACTAAGCTGTATCCCCAGCCCTTTGAGTAAGTTGGTTGGTTAGTTAGTGGCTAGTTTACTGGGGTCCTGGATCTCACCATGTTGCTCAGACTGGATGGGAGTAGGCTTTGTGTTCCTCCATCCTGAGTCAGCCTCCCTCAGTCCAGGCGTCCATCACTGTGCGTGGCTTTCCCACTGCACATCTATCATCCTCATGCATGTAAAACTCAGAGATTTGTTTTCTCTGATCTTTGGGGAGTTTGGGTTTTATGGCGGCTTCGGGAACATCTCTTCGCTAACCTGAGCTCCTCAGCCCTCACTTGAGACTCAAGGGGAGCTCTGCCTTCCTGGAGCTTTCTCTCTGTGCGCTCTCTTCAGGCCTGGGTGTGCACACAGCAGGTGAGTGGCCCTGAGGTCTCACACTCCCATTGTCGTTTCCTCTACTCACAGGGGCCCTCAGCACTGCCTGGGGCCAGGGCTCTGTGCCGACTCCTCGAGGTTTTCTCCAGGCAGCTCGCTGGGCCAATCACCCAGCTTGGCTCCTCTGCTTCACATCCATGTGATTGCTGCTTTCTACATCCTGGTATCCAAAGTCCAGAAAGCACTGTTTCATAGATTTTGTCTGGCTTTTTAGTTATTTCTGATGAAAAGGAAAATCTGTTTTTTATTAGTGCATCAGAGCCAGAAGAGAAGTCCCTGTGCTTAATTTTAACCAATGTTGAGTAGCCAAAAAATGATGGTATCTGCTTGAGATTCATTAGAGAACAGAAAAATGAAACTGGAAGTAAGATGGAAGGCATAATTTGAAAGAAAAAAAGACCTTACATTTGAAATATACTAAGAACAAGCCAGTGAACATATGCTTAAATTTTGCCAATACAGTACTACTTCATAACTGACAGTTATAATAAGTTGTCTATTTGCTCTTTATAAAGTGCACGCACACATGTGGATGGATGGGGGTACCTATCTAAGCTGCCAAATTCATTGCCACCATCCATAGCAACTGACTTGCCCAGGACTCATGGTGAGCTACTATTTCTCCAGACAGAAGTTTAGCAGCTCTTGAAGCATTGTGTCTTTAGCAACTGAGGAGTGACTTATCTAATCCTTTCTCCTGCCTTGTTGGACTTTGCATGCTTTGGCACAAGGTTGG